TTTTTTTTTTTTTTTTTTTTGAGACAGGCTCTCACTCGGTTGCCCAAAGTAGAATGCTGTAGCATCATTATAGCTCATAGCAACCTCAAACTCTTGGGTTCAAGTTATTCTCTTGCCTTATCCTCCCAAGTAACTAGGCTAGGCATAGTTACTAGGCATCCTGCCAGGATGCCTTGCCAAGTTTTGTATTTTTTAGCTGAGACAGGTCTCACTCTTGCTCAAGCTGATCTCGAACTTCTGAGCTCAAGGGATACTCCCATCTTGGCCTACCCAGAGGGTTAGGATTACAGGCATGAGCCACTACAGCAGGTTGAAGCAGTCTAATTTGATGAGGTCGGTGCTTCTGTACAATCCTCAATAAATTTTTTCACTCCAAAACACTTAGAATTTATCCTTGTGTTTCAAGGATTGATACTAACCACAGACAAAAAAGAAGAAAAGTCTACCATAAGACCATTTAGATTTTCAGACTTAACTTTTTTGTTCAGTGGTTACCTCTTCACTGTAGAAACAACAGCCCTACTACATGAAATGTACTTCAGCCTTTAAAACTTTCTTTTATCTGGAGCTTACGTCCTCAAGAATTAAGGCCTCCCTGCTATGTCAGGAGTCTTGTTGGAAATTTTATACCTCCATAAGAAGCTGTCAAAATCTGCCAACTTTGGCTCTCTGGATAAAGGAGGAAGTCAGCCTAGACAGATAAGGATAATAATGATACACCCTTTCCATATTTTTCCAGTACTTTTTCTCTTCTTCTTTTTTTTTTTTTTTTTGAGACAGAGTCTTACTTTGTCATCCTTGATAGAGTGCCATGGTGTTATAGCCCACAACAACCTCAAACTCATGGGCTCAAGCAATTCTCTTGCCTCCCAAATAGCTGGGACTACAGTTGCCTACCACAACACGTGGCTATTTTTAGAAACAGGTGTCACACTCTTACTCAGGCTGGTCTCGAACCAGTAGACTCAAGCGATTCACCTGCCTTGGCCTGCCAGAGTGCTAGGATTACAGGGGTGAGCTATGGTGGCTGGCCCTCTCCAGCACTAACAATAAAAGATGAGTCTATTTGAGTGACATGAGTTTCCTTATTTAAAATACCCTGGATGGGGCTACCTGTCAGTGGCTTGCACCTGTTACTCACACCTCGCTCTGCATCTTAGATAAGCCCTGTTTTCATTTATCTCCCCAAGGGAGGAGCTGTCTTAGGTGTTTAAATGGAGAAGAAGCTGGAAAAGGAATGAGTAATTTTTGAAAACTTGACAGAAGAGTAGGCCTGGAATAGTGCCAGAGTTGGTGGTGGTAGGAGATCTTTTGAGAGCATAACAACTCTACTCTAGGAAAGAGACAGGAGACAACAGAGCTTGCCAGGTTAAGGCTGCTGGAAGGAAATAGAAAGTAGGAAGCTGAGACTGAAGATTACTAAGAAGGGAAATTATTCCTCCTGGGAGCTTTCATCCAAAGGTGATTTTTCCATAATGGAAGGAGAAGCTGAGGTAGGATTCAGTTCTTATTCAGTTCACTGTGCCCAACCAGCAAAATAAAACACAGTCATTATCACCTGTGTGCCAATTCCAAGCATAGACCAAAGGTGTTTACAATTGAAGCAGGCAATAAATCTCCTCATTAGGTAAATACTTGTTGATTTTTTTCCACTTCAAAGATTCAAAGAGAGCAAGTCATACCAAGTATGGGTCTCTATGCTTGAGACAGACCATTGTTTCTTGTTTGGTTTCCTGAAATACTCCTATTTTGTAAGTACTGTATGGCGGGTACTTTTTGTCATATAGATGAATTGCATTTATTCTACTTTAAGAGTTTTTCAGGAAAAAAAAGGAAGTCCCCATTGAAACAAATGGAGACAGATTTGTAAAAAAATTAGGCTTTGAAATTGCTGCAAAAGTCTTCCACATAAGCGGTGGTTGAAATATTGCTCATAAAACTGAAAAACCAAAACATCTAGAAACCCTGACCATTGCTTATAAAATAGAGAAATTTAGAAGCACCCTAAATGCTCAAGAACTGAGCAATAACTAACTTACGATACAGCCACACAATGTGATATACTTCATTCGCCAAAAATCATAATTGTGAAGTAAAAATGGTGGCAAGGAAGTACTTATAATATTTTGTTAAGTAAAAATATGTAAATACTTATTTATGTGAACAAAGGACACAAAAAGTCATTATACCCCAAGGAACACTTTCTCTGGGTGAGTGGTGAGGGTGGGTTTCACAGATAGGAAAGCAAGAAGGCACTGAGAACAGGAAGAGGCTGAATCCCAAGTCAAGTTCAGAAGTACTGTAAGTTTCCTGGTCTCGGGAAGCAGGGGGGCAGGACCCGGAAGGAGGCAGGGCTGAGAGACCTACCTTGTAGTAGTCATACAACAGGCCGAGGGCAGCAGCACTGTCCTCGTCACCATTAATGCTCATCATTGCCTTGGTGGCTGCCGTCAAGGGATTCTCCAAGTACGACTTCCAGGCTTCATCCTCACTGGTGTAGGCTCTTCGGGTATTGAATGGAGGGTCACTGGGCATGGGCACTAAGGCCACTAGTCTTTTATTACTGCAAAAACAAAAGAAAAGTGAGGTTCATTATCAGAGAGGACAATGTTCCTTTTTCCCACTAATAGCACACACATTATAAGGACATAGGTATTAATTTGTGTTTCTCCAGGATAGGGGAGGAGGAAGGAAAGATTAAAACAAAAGTGACTGCCACGTATTTATTTTTTCACTGTTCCTGAAAGGTAATAAAGTCCTTAAAAGGTAGTATAAAGTAGTGTTAGGAGGTGTTATGGTTTAAATATTTGTCCCTTCCAAAACTTGTGTTGAAGATAGTTAACATTGATGGTATTAGGAGGTGGATCCTTTAAGACAGTGGTTCTCCACCTTCCTAATGCCGCGACCCTTTAATACAGTTCCTCATGTTGTGGTGACCCCCGAATAATTTTATGGTTGGGGGTCACCACAACATGAGGAACTGTATTAAAGGGTCGCAGCATTAGGAAGGTGGAGAACCACTGCTTTAGGAAGTGTTTGGCCATGAATGGATTTAACCTGTTACTGCAAGAGTGGCCTCATTATATCTGGGGTGGGGTCACACCTTCTTCCTCTCTTCACCCTTCTGACTTCCACCTTTTGTCATATGCAGCAAGAAGGCCCCTGTAAGATGTGGCCACTCCATCCTGGATTTCCCAGACTCCGCAACTATGAACCAATACATTTTTGTTTACTAAAAATTACCCAGTATCAAGCATAAGCACAAAACTGGCTGAGATAGCCAGTCCTCTTCAAACATGGTGCTCCATGTCCAATCATTCTAAGGGCCAAGTAATTTTATTTAATTATTCCCTCTTAATGCCTATCAGAATGGAACGCTGCGAGAGAGCAGATTTCATTTACTTCTCTGAGTTCTAATTACAAATATGTGCAATCCATTAAACACGATCAATACACGATTATTAAACACTATTTTATCTAGTTTAATGTTTATCTGAAATTGCTAGCAAATTATAGACCAATCCAAGCCTCTTAATTAAAAAAAGGCAGTAAAAGCTACTTTGCAAACACAACATAATACAGGCAATGCCGAGTAATGAGGACATGGAGCGATAGTAACTCTACAGTATTTAGATGATCTGAAGACCATCATGGACAGTGAGGAGCAAAGCTGGGGAACTGTCAGTAGAGACAGGAAGGGGCTGGAGCTAACCAATCTTAACCAAGCCAACCTTGCATAAAGCAGAAATTGACAAATAAGGTAATGTCTTAAGGTGGGCGTGATGGTGACCCAAATTCCCAAACACCATAATAATTCTCAGCAGCTCCCTATACTGGGACCTCTGCTGCCAAGTAAAATAGCCAAGAGACACTTTGTCACTCATCTTTTGACCCTCTTTTGCTTGTCCACTGAAATGGAACAAAAAATGGAACGAGACATTATATTTCAGAAACACTTCTGTCTGCACATAGTAACATGGCATGGACAAGTGACAGGACTGGTGAAGACAACACCAACATTATTCAGTAGAAACTCAGCCATAACCTTCTATGCAGGTGTAAGGGGGTCCTGTTTGCTGATACTCCTATAGGCTCTTCCAGTGGTAGATGTTCCCTCAGCTCACTTTGTGATGGAGAGCTGGTGTGAACCCACAGCAAAGAGTGTGTTGAGGGTCCCTGATGTACGGCATGGGCCAAGCATTGATGGAGGATCAGAAAAGGACAATGACATTGGTAAGATATATGTGGGGATGTGATAGGTGGCAAATACACATTTAGCAGAGAGGAATTCTGGGCTAGCTGGTCACTAGGCCTCTGATTTAAGCCAGTGGTTCGGTGGAACTGTTTGGGAGGAAAGAGAGAATACCAGCCCATCTGCAAATGAATTAGATTAAAAATGTATAATCAGATTTCTCGGAGTAAATGAGAAAAACCCTTGCTGAAGGGCTTGCCAACAGTTAGGCCCTGTGGTAACATGGAGCAGCACAGGTCCAACACCTACAGCAGTGGGAAGCCAGGAAGAGCCTGAGCCTCAGTTTCTTGTGCCAAAAACAGAGCTAGAAATGCCCACCCTACTTACTGCACAATGTGCTTGTGAGAATCAAATAATATAATTGAGATAAAATAGGGTTCTATAAACTGCACAGGGCTAGACAAATAACAGGCATCATGTTCTATGTTCCTATAAGGTTTCTGGGTGCATCAATTTTTGGTTAAGTTGATTATACTTTTAAAAGTCTAAAGATAATCATTGATTAAAGGGAAACAAGTTGTTCACTTAGCAATATTCCATAATTGTTTACTGAGAATCCAGTAGGTGCTGGATATCATGCGGGTATGGTACATGAGACACTGTCCCTTGCCCCATGCAGCCTGTGAGAGAGAAAGTACAGCTATTACAAGGGATGTGTGTATGGCAATTATGTGAGAAAGGGATGGCCGATGTCACGTACATGGCATATTACAGAGGAGACTAATATTCAGAGGACCAAGGAGGAGGCAAAGTTTCTACACAGATCTGCAGAATAGGGACATGCTGGTCAATGCAGAAATGGGGAGATGTGGTAAGTATGTTTGAAAGTGAAGAATACTTTGGTGGTGCAGAATAATGGAATGTTTTTACAAAAGGAACATACTTATATTCATTTTGGAGACTCAGCTAAAGAAATTTTACATATTTCATCTAACAATAAAAGAACATATCCTTATTGTAGAAAATTTCTAAATATATAGGATAGGGTTGGATTTAGAGACAAGGAAATGTAGGTAAACACCTGAGGGTCCAAAAGCAAAAGAAACAGTTCCTCTGGGGAGAGCCAGGGAGGTAGATGTGGGGGCCAAGGTTGTGACAGAGTCACCCTACCAACAGTTTATTAGTTGTGGCTACACCTGGATGCCTATTCACTCAGAGAGCAAAATAAAGGGTTCTAAACCCCAGCCATTGCCCCCGAAGACCCAGGCATCATGCATCTAAAATGTTTAGTCCTACAGGGAGGACTTCATGTTATTTGGTGTGAACTCATCATTGAAAAAGATGAGGATTTTATTCTCTTTCATACCCAAGAGAAGTACGTATTGCTTGAGAGGAGTGGGGAGTGGAGTGGGGTATTAATTACAACAATAGCTGAAAGTTCAGCCGGAAGCACCAAGCTGAAGGAGCTGAGTCTTCACTTGCACTAAGCAATGTTGTGATTCACTGCAGAGAATTTTCCTCTCTTCCTTCTTAAAATCTTGATTCCCCCCTCTTGAGTCTCCTAGACTGATGATTTCATCTGTTCCTAGCACAAATGTTCACTTATAAGTTTAAGAGATTCATCAGCCTTTCCCCTATTATGAAATTGTTGATGAATCCTTATATGATCAAAGGAAAAAATATTCTGGGAAATCAAAACTTTAAGCCCTTTCTTTTTTCATTTCTGGTGGCCCAAAGGGGCCACTTTTATGCTCTTTCCTTTAAGTAGGCAATGACTGTATTTTTTTTTCTTCCTAGATCATAATCTCTCCGGTACGGAGTACTGTTGAATGAAGTTTGGTTTAAAAACAGAATAATCTCTCTGGTACATTGAGCAGAAATGTGGATTTATAAAGACAAGAAAGTTTTACAGAGCAGCTTTACTACAGATAGGGACACTTTCTGAAGTTGAGTTTTATCATTTTTCTTTTGGAACAGCAATACTAATTTTGCTCTGGTCAACTTTTAAAATATTTTTTGTGAAGTTTTTGGTATGCTATGTTCTGGGTAACCTTGAACACAGAACAGTAAACATGACCATAAACTTGATCTCTAGGCCCTTGTTTGGAAAAAAGTTTCAGTGAGTTCTGGAGCAATCACAGCAAGGCCAAGGCCATGTTAGATCACCCAGACAACTTTTTTTTGCTGGCTTATTTTTTTAATCCATGACTTCATTCTGTGGATGTTGAGAGGATAGGTGAGAGATGGGTCATTTCCTGAAATAGTGAAAGAGGCAGAGCAACCTGTGACTGAGACCATGAGCAAGGAGTCAGCAAGCTCCATCCAGGTCACTCAGCAGGGACCGCCCACCTCCACCTCCCCCACACCCCAGCATTAACAGGAATCTCATGCAGGGAATGCATTAGAAGCAGAGGGAGCTAGCACACGTCTCCACCTGCTAAAAGTATGTGTAATAATGGTCAACAACTCCAAACACAAATGCACTTGTAAAGGACACTTGGGACCCCAAACAGAAACTAGGACAGTGAAGTAGTCACACAAATTATCACTTTTAGCCAGTTTCTCATCATCGTTTCTTTCATACTCCCATAAGAGCACTGGTTTGTTTTTGTCTTGTTTCTTGTTTGTTTCTGTTTTATGTGGGTTTTGTCTTAATTCAGGAGGATGGTTTGGAGTTGAGCAACCTTAGTTTAAGCTTCAGCTTTATCACTTAGTGAATTTAGATGAGTTACTTTCCCTCCTTGACCTTCCATGTATTTATTTTGTGGCATTTCTCTAAAAGAGTATGTCAGATATTTATATATGAAGTGCCGAGTACATTGTAGATCTTCAGTAGATGATGATTAGATACAGTACTTCTCTTTAGAATTCATGCTACCCATGACCTTTGCTCAAAATCCATGGACTGTTCTCAGGTCTTAATCTCCTCACGTTTTCTTACTTCTATAAAAATCATACTTTGCTTGGCCTTTAAGACACTGCTAAGGTGGTTGTCCTCTTTAGCCAACCAGTCTTCCTAATTTCTACATGAATTCTCTTCTTCTCTTATTTCCCTAACTCTGATTAGAGAAATGGCCCTCTGCTCTTTTCTTTCTGCACTTTTGATTCTTACTGCTTTCATTGCTCAACTTTAATGACTAACAGATATGTATTGCCTGAGAGTCAGTTCCGTATTTCTACTTGGCTGTCCTGTTGTCAGTTTAAACTCAGTGTGTCCAACATTAAGCTAACACTAAGCTAATCATCAGGTCTCAACCATGTGATCCTCACCATCAAGCAACCCTAATCACTCAAGAGCTAAATCTTAAGAGTATGTACTGGTTTAAAACACAGAACAGACTCTGGAGCCAAGCTGCCTGGGTGCA